TTTCCTTCTTCAGCGAAGCTCTCGCAGGCAGTCCAACAAGGGCATGTCTCGAAATCAGCAAACCAACCTTTAGGTCCCTGATTCCCCAAACCGAAAATAGGGAACATCCCAAGGTTGGGGGCACCTAAGAGTCACCTTTTGTTCCAAAGGGAGGCCGGAGGCACTACAATCGGGGGGTTCGCGCAGGGTTCCATATCAAGATTCCCCGTCAGGAACCTGCCCAAGAGGATGCGTTGTCCTCAGGAAGACCAGGGCCAAACATGAATTCCAAATTACCTTCAAGAAATATGTCGTGCGAGAACCCGGACTGTTTCTCGGCAACGGCTCTGCATGGGTTCCAGCAAACCTCTTGGCCTCTATAAACACAACGGCACGCATTTTGAAGAGCAAAAGGCGTGCAATGCGGATGACTGAAGCCCTGGTTGATCCGGCGGCGTCCCCTACATCCTTCACCTTCAGGGAAGGATCAACGTCGAAATCCGAAAAGATGAATCCAGGGTCAACATTGGTGCTTCGGCACACGAAAAAAGTCACCCCGCCGCTCCCACGCGTGAACGCCAAGCGACTGGAATCAATGACTATGCACTTGCAAAGGTGTGCTTCACAAGATGGTAAGCTTACTTCTCCAAAGGACCTGGAAATAAAAGGTTAACCTTTTGGGACACTAAATATGGACCAAAACAAGAAAACCAAAGCTCGAAAGATCGGCTTTGGGCATCTGAGTAAGTGAGTCAAAGGTTTCAGGTTTGCTTGGCATATCAACGGCTTCGGGCACACCCGCATTGAGCTCCCGTGCATTCGCTGGCCTCGGAACAGCAGATCAGCTGTGCAGAGCGTCCGCTTGCTCAATGAGAACTGGGAACCAACACGGCCCGCACGTCCATGAGGAAAATCCATGGAGGTGTAGCTCGACCCTCTTTCCCTTCAAACAAATGACATACCACTGCCAGGCAGTCTATGGACCCTGCGCACGCAAACGATGAACACACACACACACACACACACACACATCTGGGCTCCCAAAGGGCTCAGAAAACACGCCCTCTCTTGGAATGCTCCGGCTAGGGCGAGAAGAACAAACCCCGAGTTCCATTTGGCAGTGGGCCAGCTACTGCGAACCTGCCATGCGCAAAAACATCAGTACGCACATGGACTTTGGCTAATAGTTTGCTTTCCTGGTTGTGGTCCAAGACCAGGCACCTTATTCAGACTTGGACTCAGCATTCGGCTGCAACCATGCTAAGAATGTGTGTATATTGTGACAGCCTTCACCCGTTTGAAAACATCGCGCGCAAAGCTTGAACCATAACTCCCAAATGATTCCCCTAATCCGTTCGTATTGGCCTCGCAGCCTTCCGTGCTGGTCTCACTTCATGTTTTTCTTTGAGTCTCTTACCCCCCCTCCCCCCGCCAGACATCCAGACCCGGAAGGGGCACACTGTTTGCCCGAACCCTTTTGCACTTCGAACCAACATCCAGATCAATCAGGAAAAGACTCAATTTCTTCAACCCTTCGGCGCCAAGAACAAAACTCTCTGACCCTTCTATACGAAGAAAAGATCTCTCGGCTCCTTGCGTGTCGAGAGCAATAGTCTCTGATCCTTTCGTACCAAGGGACAAGAAATCGGTGATCCTTCCGAACTCAGAGCAAAAACTCTCAATCCTTCAGGCTAGGAGGAACAAGAGGCTCTTGCGCCTGCGCAAGCTAGGGCACCACCACTGAGTCCTTTGATCCTTCCTAAGACCAAAATTCCTCCGACCCTCCCGCGCTGAGAGCAAGAGCGACGGAAGATAGGCACTGCAAGACGTTTTTTCACTCTGGAGAGTCTGGGGACATCTCGTCGCTGCCTGGACTGTTGGGCGAGGCTGCAGCACCAGCGCTCGCACGGTGCCTGTCCTGGCAAACGGCCCCTTCGGCACGGGCGGCTCAGCCCAACTATTTGCCTCAAAAGCAAACCCTTCAAGGGAGGCAAGGCCATTCCGCAGTGACCAATAGACAGTCAAGCACTTCTGCCGCAACGGGGCACTACAGGCAAACGACAAAGTCATGCCTAAGTCACTCCTTTATCTGTGTGGCCATGTGTTCCCCCATGTAAACGCCGATTCCAAGAAGTCACTCCTAAGTCACGCCTCGGCAACAATCCCCATGGAACGCTTGACATCACCGAGCTGGTCATGCTACAAAAAGACAGGTGTCAACACTGAAACACAATGGAACGCTACTGATGGCAAAGCATGTTTTCCAGCCCCGCGAGGCGTCTGCAGGAACATGAAAACCAATGGAACGCCAAGCATACGATAGGTTGTTGCAGGAGAGTTTAGTAAAACGTCACACAATGGGTGGGCTTTGCAGGCCCTTGCACCGTGTTTTTCCACGTCCTGGAGTTCTTTCTCTGGAAGGCAGGCAGGCAGGCACATATGCAATGCACCCTGGTAAAAAAACGAGATCAAAACGAGATCAAAACGAGATCAAAACGAGATCAAACCGAGAGATCAAAACGAGATCACCGATCGTCCGTTGAAGATTTTGGGATATTTTGGGCCCACATGTGCCGAACCCGCGCCCACAAGTTCACTCACTTCTGCACCCGCTCCCATCAACCCACTTCCGCACCCACTTTTCGACTCAATTTCGCACCTGCCGCTCAAGCGCGCCTGCTCAGCCCTCGCACACACGCCAGCCAAATGGCAAGCACCCCCGCTCAAGCACACCCGCTCAGCGCTGCACAGGCGCCAGCCAAATAATAAGCACCCCCTCAAGCGCACCCGCTCAGCCCTGCAAACACGCCAGGTTAGTCCAGGTGAGAGGAAAAGCAAGGTGCCGACTCGAACCAGCTGTAGCAAAAGAGACGTCAAGTCTCAAGATTGCGAAACACACTGTAAACGCTCCTAGGCGGATAAGATAGAACATGCCTAAACCATCCTAAACCCCACGGAATAACCATTTCAACTGCACTGCCTCCCAAAAGCCTATCCCTTCAAACATGCAGAGTTCCTATGCGTTTTGGAAAGAGGCACGACTTCTTCAAAGCCCTCTCAAATCCCTGTAGCTTCCAAACGTGGCCTTGGGCCAACACTTTCAATGCCGCACTGGTGGGCTTGGCTATGCAAAATCGCACTCGTCTGCTTGCCTTCCTAGCTTGTGCAAAAGCGATTGCTTGGCTCTGCGTGCTGCGGTGCGCGCACATGTTCATGCGATGTCCATGTAGTTTCGTGCATGGGCAACATATTATGATTGCAAAGCACAGGTGACCGGGGCTTTGTCACAAAATGGCGAGCAAGGGGAAAGCAGAGGCAAATTCCTTGAGAACCGAGTGTCTGACTCAAAGCCTGTGCGTAACTGAAAAGGTCCAAGTGATGCTGCCACCAGCGCTGGGTTGACACAAAAAACCATAATGCCAGGAGCGCGCTTGAGGATAGTTTGTTGAGCCACTTGGGTGTGCAACCCTGAGGAACGTGCGGCCTACGGCCACGCCTCAAGCTACCCTAATGCCCTTGACTACTTCCCTGATGAGGACGCACAAGGGTTCATAAAAGGCCTCCTCTTCCCACCACCCAGAACGGGCTGCCCCTTTTGCACTCTGTGTTGAACGACGAATTTGGCGTACCTACGTGAAGAAATCGGAACTACTTTTAGGGCATTCCGGGGGGCAACCACACATTTTGTCCCCAAAAGGTAGGCTAAATTGGACACCCAGTGCACTAAAGCCGGCAAAACAACGCATACTGTTTCCAGGTGGAAGAGAATCACACGCAACTTGTCCCGAGCTTTTGGACACGAACCGAAAAGAAGCCAAGGTCCCAACAAGTGGTTGCCAGCTTTGAAAGCAACCAAGCAGCGGAGGAGACAACTTCCCTGCAGTGGGCAGCATGCTTGACATCCGACGATTTTTCCGCTGCGCAACGCAGGCTTAAGAACGATTGGACCGTGCCGGCTACGCTTGCCGACTGGGTCCAAACAACCCAATGCAGCCTCACTGTTTGACAGCGGCTGCATGGCTACGCAAAGGTGGTTGACAACCCCAATTCATCAGGGATCCTTACATTGTACACCTGAACATTGCCTTGTAAATGGTGGTTTCCCTTTACAGTATTTTGGTGGAACCAGCCATGTTTCAAATGGGCAAAATGTATCTTTTAAGGAGCCCTGTTCATGAACCAGAGGCTTCATCCGGAGTCGACGTTATGGAAAAAGAGGCTCGAGCGGCCGGCCACCTTCCTCGCAAAGTAAACACCGCTAGGGCTTCATTCCTCCCAACTGGTACAGGATTTTGTCGATCCACAGTATGTTTGGGGGAAATCCACGATAAAGCCTGGATGACAGAGCGTCATTCTCAGGGATCATCAAGTTTGTGCACCATTCTTGGACAATGGCCCCCTTCAACAGAGTGCATTTAATTCCAAATCCAGGGGACCATTGCACCGGTCTCAACAGAGGAGAACCCTTGAACAAGTTTGTTTCCTTTTGGCTTCCTCAAATCCAACCAAAGGGATATCTACACATGTGTACACCGTTCACGCAGGGTAACAAGGTCAAAAACTGGCGTCCTTTACCTGAAGTCTACCAGGTCTTGGGCAATGGCAAGAATAGGATATGGGAAATTTGGTGAGTCTGACGAGTCCCTGGATTTCTGGGAAACTGAGTGAGTTCCCCCACGGACCTCTCAAATGGACGGACTGCCTGAACCTTCTGACCAAATATGAAGGCCAACTAGGAATTTTGTGGTTTGACAAACGGCCAGCCTGCGGCCGTTTGACAACCGGCCGGCAGCCCAACGCTAACATTTTCTGAATCCATGCCCGGCGGTTTTTCCGCCCCCTTCGGGGGCGGCCCCCGAAGGTGATGCCTCCAAATCCCAGGAGAAACACATGCGATGTCCGGGGTACCTTGTCCCTTTGCAACATGACGTTACTCTCTCAACTCACCTGGAAAGTAAGTAGTCTAAACATATCCAGGGTTCTTCACAAAATGAGGCTTGGATTGGGAGAAGCAAAATGGCCTAGCGAGCTAAATGAAAACCATCTGTCCAAGTCTTTGCCAGGAAATGGATCATTTCCGCCAAGTCGATGGTGCCATCCTTGTTCACGTCAATGGCATTGAAAAGCTCGGTGATGTCCGCACCTAGCAGAATTCCATGTGAGGTCTTCCAGCTTTCAATCAAATCAAAGCACAAAAACGGCTCAAACACAGATGCTAGGTCCTCCAGTAGATAGGGTAAAATAAGGGTACCCTTTTTTCTGTAGTGTATTTTAGTAGGGGAACCCTCCTTCAAAAAGGGGAGAGAAAGGGCACTACTGGGGGACCTAGGATGGTAAGATCATAAAAGGTTGAAGCTCGGATCGAGCAGTTCAACAAATCGAATTGACCTCGACTGTGAAGGTGCTGTGAACCTTGACTGCGTGACTGTTTGACTCTTTTGCCATCAAATTTTGTCAGAACGCACTTAAATCGTCTTCTGCCAAACAAGGGGCACCAGCCCCACGTTGAGCCTCAAGCCTGCCAACCTACACACAAAAGCCATGGCCGCCCTGCGTCTGGTTCTGTGCTTACTGGCTTGTCCAACAGACCTCTTCCTAGTCTAGAAGCCCGTTTCTGAACTCCCCTCCAAGAGTTCTCCATCCGTCTCCAATTTCCGCTGAGAACACTAAACTTGGTAAACCTCCTTCAAAGTCTCAGCGTGTCATGGGATGCCCTCAGCGTGCGAGCCGCTGGGAACCGTCGTTGGCGCGCACTGCTCGAAAGCGTGCCTCGGTGGATACGCAGCGGGGCGCGATGAAACGTGCGTGCGCAGAGTTGCCACGTTGGCCATGAGGTATGAGAGCAATCACAGAGGGTTCACGCACAAACAGAGAAACAAGGCAAACACAATTAAGGAACAAAGAACGAAATAGCAAGACGGAAAGAAGAGAAGTAATGTGTATGAGAAAAGCAACACACAACAGGCAACCACCGAACACGAAAACAAACACAAGCAAAAGGGAACAGAAAGCAGAACAAAATTCATCAAAGCAAGAGAATACACAAAAATATATCATGAAATGAGGAAAGAAGGAAGGAAGGAAGGAAGAAAGGAAGGAAGGAAGGAAGGAAGGAAGGAAGGGAGGGAGGGAGGGAGGGAGGGAGGGAGGGAGGGGAGGGAGGGAGGGAGGGGAGGGAGGGAGGGGAGGGGAGGGAGGGAGGGAAGACGTGCAAAACACAAAGAGAACTACGGAAAGAAGCAACAATCGACTAAACACAGAAGAGGCAGAAAACAACCCAAGAGCTGAAGGAACCAAAAAACAAGACACGCAAATAAACAACCGGCCACCCCCCCTCCCAAACAAAAAGCGAAAGCAAGCCAACGAGCCAACAAATCAACAAGCCAACACACGAACACGCTAATGCACAACCCAACCAACCAACCAACCCACCCACCCACCCACCCAGCCAGCCAGCCAGCCACCCAGCCACCCACCCACCCAGCCACCCAGCCACCCAGCCACCTAGCCACCCAGCCGAGCAGCCGAGCAGCCAGCCAGCCAACCAGCCAGCCCAACGCACACCAACCAACTCACCAACCCACCAACTCGCCGGCCGGCCTATCCACCCGCCCACCCACCAGGCAAGCAAGCAAACAAGCAGGCACACAATCAAACACGCAAACACACGCAACCAATAGAATCATGCATCAATCCATTAATCCGTCAATCCATCCATCCATCCATCCATCCATCCATCCAGCCAGCCAGCCAGCCAGCCAGTCAGCCATCCAGCCATCCATCCCCATCCATCCCCATCCATCCCCATCCATCCCCATCCATATCCATCCATATCCATCCATATCCATCCATATCCATCCATATCTACCCATGTCCATCCATATCCATCCATATCCACCCATGTCCATCCATATCCATCCATATCCATCCATATCCGTCCATATCCATCCACATCCATATTTATATTTATGTTTATATCTATATCCATCCATATCCATCCATCCTTTCATCCATCCATATCCATATCCATATCCATATCCATATCCATATCCATATCCATATCCATATCCATATCCATATCCATCAATCAACTCAAATCAAATCAAATCAAAAAAAACAAAAACAATCAATCAACCCATTCCATCCCATCCCATCCCATCCAATTCCAGTCCATGCCATCCTGTCCCACCCCAGTCCATCCCATCCCATCCCATCCCATCTCACCCAATCTATCCATCAAATCAAATCAAATCAAATCAAATCAAATCAAACCAATCAATCAAATCAATCAATCAATCAAATCAATCAATCAAACAATCAAAGAATCAATCAATCAATCAATCAATCAATCAATCAATCAATCAATCAATCAATCAATCAATCAATCAATCAATCAATCAATCAATCAATCAATCAATCAATCAATCAATCAATCAATCAATGATTCAATCAATCAATCAATCAATCAAATCAAATCAATTCAATCCAATCAAATCAAATCAAATCAAGTCCAACCAATCAATCAAGCAAGCAATCAATCAAACAAACAAACAAACAAACAAACAAACAATCAATCAATCAATCAATCAATCAATCAACCAATCAGTCAATCAGTCAATCAGTCAATCAATGAACCAACCAATCAATGAAATCAATCAATCAAATCCGTCAATCAAACAAACAACGAATCAATCAAGCCATATCAAATGAAATCAACATCAATCAAATCAATGAAACAAGCAGCCAACCAACGAAACTAAAAGAAGAAAGAACAAATAAGCAAACAAGCAAACAATAGAGCGTGCAAGCCTGCAAGCAAGAAAACAGCAACCCAACTTTTGCAAAGAGCCATGAACGTCATTTCCCATGAGTACCTTCCAATACTTGAGTGGCAGAACTGGTTTCTTGACATCTCAGAGGAATCAGAGGAAAAGCAGAACGTTATTCTCAGGGTTGCTGGATTCGCCCACTTCTGCGATACCAGGGCTGGGCTTCCCGTTCCCTAATCATCTACGAATCTACTTTCAGGGGTATCCCTTGCTGCAACAAAGCTTCAGTGGGAATCGACATGAAATCACGGGTATGGCTTGAAATCACCTTCTGAGAAAGAAGTGCATTTCCTGGGTTCGAGTTCCACTTCCCAGGTCTTGGGGTCTCGGGAAGCAAAGCCGAGAAGAGACCAAGTGGTGGGAAAATCCAGGTGGGTATGGCTCCAAAAACCGGTACCAAAATGGAACGCTGGTAAGTGGAAACATTGACCAACGGTGACCAAAACCTGATCTTGAGCCACTGCCAGGTCGATCCCACAACCTCCCCGCCGCTGGTCCGGGCGACAGAAGCTCTTTGAGGTCGAGCGTGCCATTCTTGTCCTGGTCGAAGAGGTCGAACGCCTCCCTGAGGTCCTCCAGTCCGGGCAGCCCAGCGACCTGCCAGGCTCAACAGGAAACAGAAGACAACGCTTCTTGGGCATGGCTCGGATTTGAGCCAGGGCTCAACTTGTTACACATTGGAACACTTCAGACCTTGGGCTGTTTTTGTTGAGTTGCCCAAAGCTCCAGGTCTTGAACCAGAGAAACACCGAAGCAAACCGCAGCACTTGCATATGAGCCAGCGTCAAAATTACTTGTTTGGGTTGTATCCATTCCGGAATTCGGGCGTCCCGTAGCGTTTTTCATGTTCTGTCTCAAGTTTTGGGACATCGCTTTTTTGGACGCACCGTATCCTTTTTAGCGAAACAGCAAAAACAACACGTGCAAGAAACACGTGAGGGCCAGGAATGCTCAGGTCCAAAGGCAAACAAAGCGACGAATGAACACAGCAAGGACAGAAGATCACCCATGGCTGGAACCAAGTCAGGAAGGCAAAGCAAAGGGAAACACAGGGCCTGAACCTAAGGTGACTGAACACGTGCAGCATTTGCCTGAAAATGCGGTACTTTGGACACCTCAAAACTGCGAAAGCACATTCCATGGAAGCCAGTCTCCCAATGCAGGCGGTGCAAGGACCACATGGTTGGTGATAACATCGCTTGAAACAAACAAGTAATATGCAAGCAGGGCAGACAGCAGGATGTTGCTCTCAATATTTGTCGGACGTGACCGAGCACAGCACAAACACACACACACACACAGAGTACCCATGAATACAGCTGCTAGAAGCGCAATACCTGCAAAAGCAAAAGAAGGAACACGACCCGAAAGTGAGACCAAACCCATGTGGCACTCTATTGCTAACAGTGTGTTGGACACCTTTCAATTGCAATATCGAGAGGAGAACAAGGGCGGGGGGGGAGGGGGGGGTAGATTAATCTAATTTTTCACACGGTTGCCTTGTCGGCCTGCCCTTCTAAAGCAAGTGCAAACTCAAGGTAGCTGGAAAGCTACCTTTCTTGACAACCCTAACGCATGCCCAACGCAGCCAATTGACAAAATCATCATGCCTGATCAGTGTCCAAAATGCCACTAACAAGTGCTTCCCCAGTGGCTATGCCAAAAGCTGACATCTTTGGTGCAAGTTGAATTCAACAGGCAATTCCTCAAGCACAAGAAAACTGGGGACACTTTTGGCTGAAATAAATTGTCCGTTGAGATGGACGAAACCTTATGACAAATGGCACATCCCACCTGCGAACCCCCTTCAAAGCGACAGAGACTACTCGTGTGACGGCTTGCAACGCATGCAGCCAACTCGGAATTGTCTCGCCTTGAGTCCACGTATGGCAGGGACTGAGTGTCATGTCTTTGACAGCCAGGGTTGCACTGGTCTGGTTTTGGGTGGGATGGGGTTAGTGTTCTGTTCGTTCTGGGTAGGCTGCGGCTGTCCTCAGGTGGGAGAGGAAAGAATCAAACATACAACGCCAAAGCCAACATTCACCGGAGCCCAAAACGCAAACCAAACAGAAAGCAAAAGCAATCCCCAAACATGTCCCCCACTGATTCATGTGGTCTTGGTCGAAGCTATGCAGCTACTCACGACTTTAGATGACATTCAAAGCTGGTGTGTTGCTTCAGGCAACGAGTCCATCACGCCTGCCCCAGGGCCCAAGGGCTTTGGGAATGTGTCCGGTCTTGGTGGGAAACCCTTTGATTCCAAAGTGGGCAATGCCAAGAACCAGCATGGGGAACTTTAGAGGGGATTCCTCTGGTATCATAGAAAGTGGCACTACTGGCCCCACTATGTTGCCATGCCCCCAGTGGTAGGTTCAAGGAAACAACCCCATTTCTGACTTTGATAACCCCCACAAAACCGTCAAAAGAATGACCCCAGCACGAGCACCCGACTTGCGGCCTTCACCGAGTCCAAGTAGAGCGAGATGAAGTCCCTCAGCGTGATCTCCACCTTCGTGCCGAAGCTTTGCTGCAGCACGCGCTCACCCGCCTGGGCGAAAAGCGCGCGCATCAAAATGGGCAGGAGTGGGCAGGATAGCCTTTGTACTTATGAATTTCAGGTAGCAGGATTATCTACGAACTTGACCAATGAGGTGTTGGGGGCTGCCCATAGCGAACAAAGCCCCGGGTGGGCAGGATCCCCCACTTGTATATAGGATGAGGACGGGGGTGCGCAAAAGCTATCCTTGAACAAGTACATTCTATTTGTTACATTGAGACTACACCCGCCTCCAAACGTTCAAGCCCATTAACTGACTGCAAATACCAGGAATTGCCAGGGGTTGCTGCCTTTCACTCCATTCCTTGGAAACATTAAGGGACTTGCTTCTAGCCTAAACACCGCTTCAAAAGGGCTCTTGGTCTATTTAAAGGGACAAGCGATCAACTCAGCGCTTAGGCTCATCCAAATGTTCGAATGACCCAAGCAGCTGTCAGGAAACAAATGCCAAAGCTGTCCGGAGTGTTTAGTACTCGTTGAATGCATTGCATTATTAGCCTTTTGGGCTTGCCTTTGTGAACCCAATTGCGGTGACGTCGGCCTTTTGGCGAAGCCACACTTTCGGACGGCCCCAACGAGTTTCAGGTCACAAGCAAGGAACCTGTGCGCGTGTCCAACCATCAGACTTTCAGACTTGGGCGAAATCGGAGTTTGGCGCCCCCTCTCGTAAGTATTTTTCTCAAGACAAGGGTCCTACTCTTCAGAAAATTGCGCGGTTCCTGCAAAGCATGGCTGAAGACAATTGGGAAAGCGTTCGATTTTGGGGTGCGCTTTCTTGCCCCAGTTCTATCTTGGCTTAAAGGGAAAGGAACGCCACCCTGATAGGAGTCCACCCAGTTCAACACATATCCATTCAAAAGCAAAAGCCTGGCCCCAAGCAAAGCTTCCAGTCGAAAAATGATTGGGTCCAGAGATTGACTTGTTTCACTACTCAACTTGGTTGTGAAACATGCCTTCCCACCCAGCAACATGGAACCCAACTGGAGGGTTTTCCGGAAGACATCTTCCTCAAAGCAAACCTTCGGCAGGTTACTCGGGAGGGCTTCTCGGTTGCGGAGTTCGGGCACGTTCCTGCCGGTGTACGGTGGACATGTCCGGGGGAAGCCGAAAAACTTTTTTCTTTTTTTTTTTTATTGCCTCCAGGAGTTGCTCCCTAGACTTTGAGAGACACTCATGGCTGTTTGCGAGAGGGGTTCACATGCACTCTGCAAGGCAAAGGGGCCTCTTTTGCGACCTCCATGTTCCTCACCTGAACCAGCATGACCTTTCAATCTTTCATACTTTCATACGCGTTTTCGGAGACACAAAACTAAGATACCTGATATAATTTCCCAACTGGCAAATCGCTGGAGAACACCCTTCAGCACCTTGCGGGCCTGGGTTAAGTTGGTAGCGAAAAGGTCCAATTTTTCAGGGGAAGGACAAATGCGCCACACTGATTCAAAAGTGGGGAGGGGTGACCAACATTACCTGGCAACTGAGTTACAGTATCAGTTCCGGATCACTTAAACAAACCCAAACAAAGCCATCTTGTGGTAAACCAGGCGTTTCTCATTTGGGCCATTGATATATATATATATATATATGTATGTTTGTATGTATGTATAATATATCTATATATATATATATGTATGTTTAAACAAAAGTATTGATTTGGGCTAGTGATATATATATATATATATATTTACAACCCAGTCCCGTGGCACCCCTCAAACCCCCCGTGTTCTTTTCGAGCGAGCGGCATCTGGCAGAATGCCGAAGAGAGACGCCAGGACCTTCCGAAGGTTCGGCTTGGAGATGCTGCCGGTGCCATCGAAGTCGTAGAGCTTGAAGGCGTTCCTAGCCACTTGCCATGCGCCCAGGGGTTGGGTGTGGTCTGTGTATCTCTGGTAAATATGGGAAGTTGTTGATAGTTGTTGCTTTTTTGTTGTTGGAAGTCTGGTAAATATGTAAGTTGTTGACCTATTCGTTGCTGTTTTGTTATTGAAAGTGTCCTTTGCGGGTTGGTTCCACGGGAAACCAAAAGACTACCATGTTTGAGGTGAGGTCCCCATATTTTCGACGCATACCCATCTCTCTCTGGTAAATATGCTTGCCCTCCCACGGACCGAACGCAGCAAAAAAGAAAGGTGAAGTTGGAAAGCTGCCACCCCTGGCACGTACTGCGGGCCATTCAATCTCGGGCCAAGGTCTGACCCCTTAGCGCCCCTCACCCACTTTTTTGCCCACCACCTTGCCCTAGCCTCTTCAAGGCCAGATTCGGGGATAACCATACTTACTGGGGATACCAGGGTGGTCAACTGTAAGTTGCAAAGGAAAAGCCCCAAAACGCGCCACACCCAGAACCGTTGAACACGACCATGCGCCTTCAGGATGGCTGACTTCCCAGTTGCGCAATGCCCCTGGTGGGAAAAGGCCCCCGTGCTTCGGCTTGACCGTGGGTTCCGAACACACCAAACTAAACAGGACAACAACTGGGATTGGGATGCCTACGTGGAGTTTCACTAGATCCAATAGAGTAGCATCCTCAAAGTCAAGCTCTAAACGGTCGCTTACAAGGGGAAAAACGTCCGGACACAAGGGGTCAATTTGAGAAGCCTTTAAGATGCAACCGCTTTAAGGCACCCAGTTACTCTGTGGTTTGACCCTCACCTCAGTTGTTCAGTGCACCCTGCAGCTCCTGTGTTTGTTTGGTCTCAGTTTCTGAGTGGATTGGCCAGAACAAGTCTTTGAACTTGTTTGGACTTTTTGTCCGCCACTAAAAAAATGCTGTGCCAAAACGTGCACAATGTTTTCGTGATTTGCTCTGGCCCAGGTCGTTTGCAACTTGTAGGCCTTGCCCCTAGGGGGTGATGCTCGTTGGAAATGAGTGGGTCTCGAGACCCGACCCTTCCGGGCTAGGCGCTCCAGCTGCCGTCGGTTCAGGGGCACCTGTGCCTCTCGCCCCGCGAGGCTGAGAAACCACTCCTCAGGTGCTCAGGTCTTGGTGCAGAAACTGTTACAAAGCGCCTCTCAGTCCCATGGGAGGAAACTTCGGATGTGGACCCTGGCCCCCCCCCAAAAAAAAAGAGAAGAAGCACCGTTTCTAGAGGAGTCAATCCCCTTTGAAAGACCCTTTTCTGTGGGATGTTGATTTGCACCGACTGTTTCAGACTAGGTTCCCAAACATTGGCATGTGAAAGCCAGTGAACCCAACAACCATCACCACCGGTGTCACCAGCCACAACTTCCAATCACACATCGCGCTGGAATGATGGTTTGCCCGGGTGACTGTATAGGCATAAGGTTGTCCACTGGGTGTAGTACAGGCCCAAACGCTTAACCAACCAAACAAAACAAACCCAAAAGGAAAATCAACCAAAAGCAAACCTTACAAATGCAACTCAACTTTCTAGCATGCTGCCACTTGTCGCAAAGTGGGCAGACCATTTTTACTCGCACAAGCTCACACAATCATTCTGCACGTGCTTGGGCTTGGCCCGCACATGCGGCAGAGTTGCCACACCGCATAAACGCTGAGAGATTGAAGTGAGACGCCTGATGAGCGCGCCTCCTCACACCCTCACCAAAGTGATCCCGCCTAGGGGAGGCATAGAGCCGCTCCCACGCAGCCTGGCGCCGGCCGCCAAACCGTCAGGAGCCGGGCTGCCGAGGGAAACCACCTGGAGCTGGCCCTCCTGCGGCATGGAGAGCTGCATCTGGTGCTCCTGAAAAGAAAGAAGGGCTTGCAGTTTGCTTCTACCCTGAAGTGGAGGGTTTGGAAAGCTACCATCTCAAAAGGCCCAGTACCATCATCTTCAAAAGGCCTGCCCGATCCGAGGTTCTGAAAGCGGCAGTTTGATTGGACGCCACCAGGCTGTTTCCTTGCAAACCTACCAAGAAATCCATTTCCCAGGGAACCTCCAGTGACCCCTCATTCTTTAGGCCGGCAAGGGCCACGTATGCTAAAATGCATTTAGCACTTCTTCCCAAATGGGGTACCGGGTAGTGGAATCCATTTTCAAAGGTGGCGACTCAGGGGCCTATGTCCTGCGGCCTTTGGTAGTTCGAGCCCCGAACTACCTTAGCCTCTCAAAGGAACCCCCAAAAAGCAATTTGACACATGGGATCATCATTTTACAAGGGCTCACCAAAATAGCAAGGCCCATCTCTTGAACACAAGTGCCAAGGGTCGGTTCTCTTCCAAAGTTGTCGTTTCTATGATCGATTCAAGTCCACTTCCAAAAACTCAGCTGGCTCCTGCCATGTCCCACCGTCGTCGCTGGCGCGTCCGCGATCGAAGCGGCCTTTGCGGCCACTGCTGAACCGTATCGCCACACCTGCGTCGCCACGGCGCCAAGATGGGGGAGGGCCTCATGACAGCTAATACCTTGGAAGGCCAAAAGGATGCGCCAACCACCCGGAAAGCTCCAAGTCCTTTTGAACCACACCTACAATCGCAATGTGCGACGGCCTACTAGTGGCCCACTAGCTGCAGAAACTCTCGGATCTTGTTCAGCTCATGCCTAGCGTTTCTGGTTATTTCCGTGAATTCTCCCGTAATTCGGCGGGTTCCAGAAAATCCCTCGCAAACAGCGGAACTGGGCCAAGGACGAGGCTCAAGCGGCTTCGAGCTTCACCCTCCCGTGATTTGTAGAGTGCTCATTGCCAGACTCTGATCTAAAACGAATACACCTGGGCTGCCCTCAGATCCCCTGCTAAAAGTTTAACTTTTAGTGGTTTAAATGGAGCCAACCACTAAACACTAATAGGCTAAAAGGCTAAGGGGATGGCTGGGAGCCACCAAGACACCAATTTGAAAACAGGGGCCCTAGATTTCCCTCGGAAGAATAAACAGTCCTATCAGGGCTTGTTCCCCTCCACAAGTGGATGATTCCTCACTAAAAGGGGGACAATGCGGCGTATTCCTCAGCCAGGAGGTGAACACTGACATTGAACCCATCCTAAACCCACAGCCCAGCCCTCACGGCACAGCCACTGCTGCGCGCCTGCGTCGAACTCCCAGCGGCCATTGGCGCTCACCCAGCACCCCCCACTGGAGCCCGCGCAATGCCCCCGGTCCTGGGGTAAAACCTGGACCTGAAAGCCTGCCGCCAACGGTGACTTCCCCGCAGAAAAAAGAAACTGAAAAAAACACATGTTAAACAAAAAAAACAAGAATCGGGGAGAACATAATAAACACAAGGAAAAAGGAACAAACACAACAAACAAAATACACGTGTCTGCTGGGTGTTCGGGGCAAGCAATGCCTGTTTGCCAACCTGTTCCTGAGCCCTTGAAAACGCGCAATGTCAAAAAGAATGGGGTCAGTGCCAAGCTAAAGCCTTCGTGAGGAAAATAGTCATAGCATTGGTACACAGTACTGGGGCCAAACTGAACCAGGGGAATCCACCAACTCTCGCCCAGGACCCAACCTGACTAAACATGACATCTATATGCTTAATTCTTCGCTTGCAACAGGTTCCGCGACCTTGCAATTCAGAAGTGAAGGATCCCTCCGAAATGACACGCTCCGTAGCCAACCAGGAACTCATTAATCCATCATCCTGGATTCCCAGGATTACGTGCCCAGTGATTAAGAGGTTCCCGTGCCAAGACTCCACTGGAAAGACCTGGTACTCCATGTGGGCACTTCCATCCGCCTTGAGGTCGAGCTCCAGTCGTCCATCTCGCGCTCGGCGCCCGCGACCGAGACCACCGAGACCACCGAGACCAGCGAGTCGCCCAGGGCCCAAATCCAAGTGATCCTCTGAACGGCTGGGGATGAGGACGGGCGGGGACCCGTAGGGTTTTCAAGGGCAACCAAAAGGAAAGCCACCCATTTTGGGGGGGTCCCCGCAACAAAGACACACCTAGATGATCCGATGGTGGATAGGGTGGAGGGGGGGCCTCTGGTGTCCCACGTTCGCTCTATCACCCTGTCCAAGCGGTACATTCAACGAGCCAGCGGAAAGGGCCCGCGTCAGCTTCTCAAGGTATCAGTTGCAACATGAAAGTGGAGGGCTGCCAACCTAAGGCGACCGCTGGCTTTCAGTGTTGCATCTCAAAGGATGACCTCAAAGAAGCAGACAAAGAAGAAGAACAATAAGAAGGATAAGACGAAACGAAGAAGAACAAACAGAAGCAGAAGAAAAAGGAGACAGAAACATGTGCAAATACATATTCGAAGCGCCCAGCTGTCCTCTCTACCGGGCACTCCGGCAGTGTACTTGCCCTCCACATTGGCCACCACCAAAGTTGCAAGCTCGAGCGAGGCTTCCTCCTCGACTCAGAGCCCCGATTCCCCCAGGCCGCGCTAGTCCAAAATGATACGGCTTCAAAAGGGTGGTAAAATCCGTGGATTCCTTGCAGGGCTTGCTATAAATAGAATCAACTAATGTATACGCGCACATGAGGATATACATATATATATATATATATATGCTACCCCCCCCCCTTGAAATACTCAGGTTTTGGGCCAGAACTGAGGTTTTTTTTGCCAGACGGGGGGTGACAAATTCCTTGCGACTCTGGAATGAACTGACTGGACGCTCAACTCCATGCAAATTCCAACCAAGCAGAAGTTAAGCTCAACGTTGAAGGAGTTGCGAGTTGTGTGACCGTCACATTGGCGTGCGCGAAGTGCACTTAAAGTCACATTGGAGTATGCAAAGTTCACTTTGGCAGCTCCAGCTCAAAAAACACAACTGTCCAGTACAAGAGTAGTGCGCGAAGTATGCTTTGGCAGCCTCAATGCGCCTGTAGCAGCTCTACTATTGTGTGTTTCCAATTTTTGTTTGGCTGCGAAATTCAGAAAATCATCAACTTGGGGAAAAGGAACTCATTCCTACTTCATGTCCTGGCGCATTTGCATTTTCATGTTAACTCGAGTGTTGTGCAGAATTCCATGTACATGCTAGCTCAATCTGTTTGAAACATATGTTGCAAAGCAACTATCCCATGTGTGTGTGTGTGTTGCTTGTTTAACTTAGTTCAATCATCGCCAATAACAAGTGTTGAAATTCAAGTAAGGGAAGGATATCCAGTTTAAAACGCTTTCGAGTTCAAACCAAATTCAAGTTTACTCGTTTGGAGTTTCTTGTGCATTTCAAAAATCAACGGGAGAAGATGGCTATTGTCCTTGTCGAACTCCATGTGGTTTGAACCAATCAAGAACTAAGCCAAGCCAATGCCTGGAACGTGCTTTCAATCATAGATCTTACTATTGGCATAAATGCTGTAAAACGCAGTGATTTTCAGCATTTGCTCAGATCGTGTTGCCTTAGATCGAAGATCGAGTATACAAGATTCCACAAACATATGTTTAGAACATCCTCAATCCTGGTCCCCTAAAAACTTGACAGTTTGTTCTAGACTCATTAAGGTTTTGTCCCCCTGCATTAAAGATTGACGATCTACTATATTTCTATTGATAATTGAGAATCTTCAATCCTGGCCAGCCCTCAAGTCCACACAAAACCTGTAAAGATGTCAACAACATGTTTGCGCCCTGGCCAAATGCAGGCAGTGCCAGTGCACATCCACAATTTGATTCTGACAACGTGCACTCCCGGTTTGGCAGCGAAATTCAGCAAATCATCAACTTGGGGCAAAGGAACTCATTCCTACTTCATGTCCTTGCGCAGTTGCATTTTCATGTTAACTCGAGTGTTGTGCAGAATTCCATGTACATGCCAGTTCAGTCTAATTGAAACATATGTTGCAAAGCAACTATCCCATGTGTGTGTGTTGCTTGTCTAACTTGGTTCCATCATCGCCAATAACAAGTATTGAAATTCAAGTAAGGGAAGGATATCCAGTTTAAAACGCTTTCGAGTTCAAACCAAATTCAAGTTTACTCGTTTGGAGCTTCTTGTGGATTTCAAAAATCAACTGGAGAAGATAGCTCCCCTAAAAGCTTGACAGTTTGTTCTAGACTCATTAAGGTTTTGCCCCCTGCATTGAAGATTGAAGATCTACTATATTTTCTATGGAGAATCTTCCATCCTGGCCACAAAAAAAACCTGTAAAGATGTCAACAACATTTTTCCCCCTGGCCAAATGCAGGTGCTTGGCAGTGCAAGCGCACATCCACAATTTGATTCTGACAACGTGCACTCCGGGTATGCCTTTTAGATTCTTCAACTCTGCACTTAGGGCAATCCAGGATCTGAAGATTGAAGATTATCTGACAACTCTTTCTGAAATTCTCCAAATATGTACTTAGGGCAATCCAGGATGTGCTAGCACGTGCTAGCACATCCTGGATTGAAGATTGAAGATTGAAGATTCTCGGGCCACTTGTTCTGGAAATCTTCAATCCTTAGGACAAACTGATATGTGCTAGCACGTGCTAGCACATCTTGGATTGAAGATTGAAGATTGAAGAATCCCAGAGAGAGTTGTCAGAGAATCTTCAATCTTCAATCTTCAGTCCAGGATGTGCTAGCACGTGCTAGCACATATCAGTTTGTCCTAAGGATGGATTGAAGATTTCCAGAACAAGTGGTCTCAGAATCTTCAATCTTCAATCTTCAATCCGGGATGTGCTAGCACGTGCTAGCACATCCTGGATTGACCTAAGTACCGATGCTAGAGTTTAAGTCTAAAACGGAGTGCATTTTTGGAGCCTAATTTTTAGAAGCTGGAACGTGTGTTTTGCATGCATTTTTACAGCCAAAATGTCAAAAATTGCCAAAAACCTGAGTATTCCAGGGGGGGGGGGGTACCATATATATATATATATACATTGGTATTTCTCCCCTTAAGCACCACCCACCCCACCTAAACCAAACTCAGCCCTATCAAAGCAGCACAGCAAGTCACGAGACGAGGGCTTCCACCAAAAGGGTCTAAGTCCGCCGACATTGCTCGGCGTGTCGGATACTTACTAGAGGATAGAGGATAACCCCCCCCCCTAACCCCCCCCCCGCCCGACGTCTATTACGTAGGTTTTTTTTTGGGGGGGGGGTCCCCCACGTACCGCGCGGCAATTTGATGACGTTCCACTAAACGTTACATACATATATACATACATACATACATACATACATACATACATACATACATACATACATACATACATTACATACATTACATTACATTACATACATACATACATACATACATACATACATTACATACATACATACATACATACATACATACATACATTACATACATACATACATACATTACATACATACATACATACATACATACATACATACATACATACATACATACATACATACATACATACATACATACATACATACATACATACATACATACATACATACATACATACATACATACATACATACATACATACATACATACATACATACATACATACATACATACATACATACATACATACATACATACATACATACATACATACATACATACATACATACATACATACATACATACATACATACATACATACATACATACATACATACATACATACATACATACATACATACATACATACATACATACATACATACATACATTACATTACATTACACATTACATTACATTACATTACATTACATTACATTACATTACATTACATTACATTACATTACATTACATTACATTACATTACATTACATTACATTACATTACATTACATTACATTACATTACATTACATTACATTACATTACATTACATTACATTACATTACATTACATTACATTACATTACATTACATTACATACACATTACATTACATTACATTACATTACATTACATTACATTACATTACATTACATTACATTACATACACACATACATACATACATACATTACATACATACATACATTACATACATACATGCATTACATTCATTCATTCATTCATTCATTCATACATACATACATACATACATACATACATACATACATACATACATACATACATACATACATACATTACGTACATACATACATACATACATACATAATACATTACATACATACATACATACATACATACATACATACATACATACATACATACTTACATACATACATACATACATTCATACATTACATACATACATACATTACATTACATTACATTTCATTACATTACATTACATTACATTACATTACATTACATTACATACATACATTGCATTGCATTACATTACATTACATTACATTACATTACATTACATTGCATTACATTACATTACATTACATACATACATACATACGTACATCCATCCAGACATACATACATTACATACATACATACATTACATACATACATACATTACATTACATTCATACATACATACATACATAAACACATTACGTACATACATACTTACTTAGGTACTTACTTACTTACTTACTTGCTTACATTACATACATACATACATACATACATACATACATACATACATACATACATACATACATACATACATACAACATACATACATGCATACATACATACTTATGTACATGCATGCATACATACGAGAGAGGGAGATTGGGAAGAGAGAGGCTTGGGGGGATGGGGAGGATGGGAGCAGAGGGAGGGAGAGCACACAAGGGAGACAAGGAAGAGAGGAAGAAGGAGAAAAGGGAGAGGACAATGTCGGCGGACTGAGCCGGAGGCTCTAAAGTTTTGGCAATCGGGCAGCAAGGCCACCTGGAAAGGACCAGAACCCCACATGCCCTCCGGTGATCACCGGTGCATGTGCCCAAAGTCAAAACTCCTTGCGAGAATTGAGAAAGGGGGCCGTTTTGCCGAACTTGGGGGAGAATCGTTATCATCCAACCAACAAATGTGGCTTCACCTGCAGACACTTTTTGGAAGATTGCTTTCCGCAGCAGGCGTTTGCGCTCTTCTGTGGTTGGTGGGAGAGTAAGCCGAAGCTATTGATCCTTGAAGTAAGGGAGCCTATTGAGGTCGCCGCACTTCTGAAGTGAGTCCAGAGAGGGTGTGAATGGAAGGTTTCCGACAACCATCGCCTGGTTCGGATGTGGGTGAAATCTCATGGCCCCTCTTTTCCCATCCTGTGCACGACCTGACCGCAGGGTCCTCTTCTTTTTACAGGAAAATGAATTGTCTTATCCAGTTTATCCAAAAACCATCTGGTGTCAAAACAGCGTGCACGGGAGGGTAACTGAATCCTTAGCCATCGGAAGCTGCCTCCGCCAGGTCTGCCAGCACGGTGCCCGCGGTGAGCGCTGCTGAGCCCCGCAAGAACCTGAGATGCCGCTGGGTCTCAAGCCGATCTGGGTGAAAGCTGGGCCCCAAGTGGTTTCCAGTTGCCATGGTGATGTCAAACCTGGATTCATCATGGTGGATGTATCAACCTGGATAAATGACTTGACTACTTGAAAACGTTAAACATACGGTTGACTGGTTTCCTCAACGTGAACATGTTCTGGATTGTCCAGGAGTTCTGAAGAATGGCTTGTTGGGACGACTTCCCTCATGCGGAGCTTAGTTTTGAAGATGCCACTTTAGTGTACCCACATCAATTCGTGGCATGGATTCATGGATGATGTTCAAGGGAGAGGCCACAACTGGTACATGTGACTCATTCGAGGCATCTTATGTTTGGATCATCGCTGTTCAACCGTCTTCTGATTTGGCGATGCAGCCAAACGACTCGAGTAGTTGTTTTGGTTGCTTTGATTAACATGAAGAATCCTGGCAACCGGTTTTTAGTCCGATTTCCACCCAAATGGCACGTAAGACTTGGGAAATTGCAAGTCACCCCAGTTAAAGCGGGGATTTCTCCTACGGACAAGATGTGCCATCCTTGGTGGCACAACCTTTTCGCAGGGAGAACTGACTCCGACACTTCCAAATGATACACTTGAGCCCAAACTGACACAGATTGATTGATCGGAGCCACTGGCAGTTTCCAAATGAACGGACTGCAAACCAAGAACGCGCAAAACTCGTTGCCAAGATCAGCCACAAAAGGAAGAGACGGAAGAAAAGAACAATTCCACACGTTTGCCGTCTACACGCAACCCATCACCTTGCCTCCGGGGAAATCACGGTTTTCTTGACGGATGCATCCCAAAAACACTTGCTTTTCGAGGGGGGGGTTCTTTGATTCAGCTGCAAAATCATGCTTTGATTGGCCCACGTGCATTTGTTAAGGGACCCCGAGAAAGTTCCAAGTTTAAGCAAAATGACTGCAGGTGCTGATCAACATATCACCCTGAAACCCGGATGTTCCAGCATTCGACTTCTTCTAGGGGGCAGTGGTTCGAAAGCATGACACGCCACCAGAACACATCCTCAAACACATGTCTGTCAGCCCAAGCCTGCACATGAAGCCTCATCATTTTTGGGTTGCTGTGACCAACCTTTTTCTTTAAGGCCGTCTATGTCTGCACTGTTCGGCATTGGACAAACGAAGGCTGTATTTCCCTTGGGTGTGATAGGGCTAAAAAAGGCACATACAACATTCGAGTAATTATGAGTATCGATCAATGCTTGTTCCCCCAAATGACACAGGATGCTGGTGAGCAAGCCCATTTCCTAATGGTAATAAGCGGCCTCATGTCATCCCCCCTTTTCTACAGTGGATGACAGTGAAATGTGACACGTCGCAAAAAGACTGACTAGACAAGCCACAGTCAAGAAATCAGCCTACACAAACCGGCCAAAGCAAGCAATGACAATCCACCTACGAGTAGCACAAACAATCCAGCCGAAACGAACCACCCACAAACATCCTAAACTTGCCATCATAAACACAACTCACAAATTTCCTAAAATCACCAATCACACCAAACAGAGAAACAGAGCCTCAGCGCACGGCGCAAAGAGGCATTCTGGAAATCCCAAAAAATGGTTTCCTTTGCATTTCCCGAACCAAAAGGGGGATGCCCAGGTGGTATCCGCACTGCGGAACCCCCTGGAACTGAGCTGCAAACCACAGAGCCTATCTGGGAGGCCCCGAAACCCTGAGGCCCCATAGCTTTCAGCTGAGCAAAAACACAGTTCGGGGAATACCCCAAAAGTTGGACGGTTGCCTTTACATGTCCCAAACCAACCCAAACGGGGTTCCCCCCAAAAAAACCGCCACCCTCCTCCCCCCTTCCCCCCCTTCCCCCCCTTCCTCCCCTTCCTCCCCCCCGCCCACATGTTTTCGGGGAGCACTCGGCAGCCCTTGGCCGGCGCCGAGCTGTTCGCCGCCCTTGCGAGCATGGCCAGGGTCCACTGGCGCCCGGCGTCCAGGCTGCAGATGGCCTCCCCTGGCGGCTTGGGGCCCCAAACCACTGGTTGGGTTTCTCGTCTAATTGGTGGAGGCGCCTCGAAATGGCTTCGCTTTTTTTTCCCCATTTGTTTTCCTCAAAGGGACCTCAAAATGGCGTCGGTCTTCCTTTCGGGTTCCATACAGTATATACACCACCCAAAAAATGGGCAGCCTCAAAAACAAGAAGCCACTCACTTGGCACCGGGGTCAGAACAGTTCGAACGGGATTGTGGAGCACTTAGAATCCAAGTTGCGTTGACCATAGAAGCCCTTCATGTCATGCTGAAACAATGACAGCAACTATTGACCCTATACTGAATCTGCGTGGGAGTGTCTCCTGGATTGCATGGGAAAGGGCAATCATCCATGCTGGGAACTGCCTCCTTTCGAAGGCGCGGAAACAAGAAGCTAACACGGCCAACAATCCTACGAGACCATGACCGATTCCGGACATGAGTTGGAAAACAAGAAGGTCAATCGGCCGGCTGTTGCCAAGCGTGTTCACGCAAGGCGGGTTGCCTTGGCAGGTGTTGAGGAGCCAGCGGGGTGGCTCCCCTTGAGGAACCATAAGCCTGGGATATGCCCTAAACCAGATTTTCACACATGATCCATGCGCAGCGCGCAAAACTCAGTGATTTGGTTATACCGACATGGCCAATGGCTACAGTCCCCTCTAATACTTGCCGCACGCAGGCCCAAGGAACCTCAGAAGGCGCAAGGTCGCGTCCTCGTCTGCGAAAAACAAAGACCAAGAAGTGAACAGTGACGCCAAGCGCTTCGCCGACACAGATCGCTCCTGAAAAAACACCTATAACAAGGGGGCTTTGAGCATCTCCCCGCTCATTCCGGCTGGACTTTTGCCACACTGGAAGGCGAGAACGGCGGAAATTCTTTACTTACAGAGGATTCTCTTTTGTTGCGGTGGACCGACATGCAAAGACTCCGAACTTTTTATAACAGCTCCTTTGCCCCCGAAACCGTGCCAGGGCGCCCTTAAAAACCAAAGCCCATGCTCCGTCCCGCGCCTGTCATCGCACTGGTGAGCACGACGCGCAGATCCCCCGTCGCCATCGGCGGCGCTGGTGCCGCGGGCGCCTCATCCTGAACTTCCGGCGGAAGGAAGTCGTCGGCCATACAGCAGCCGTTGCGGAGGGCCACCTCCCGCAGCGACTCGCCGATCCTCGGAAAAACGCAATGGAAGTGGGCATGGGTCAAAATTTAACCACCAGGGGACCGCAGGTTTTAGTCCTTGAATCCATTTACCAGGGTCCCATTTTGGGTACCCATTTTTTACCCACAGCCAAGTGCAGCAACTAGGTGGCCATAGTGAAACGTACAGTTGGGTGCAAGCACCTAGTTCGGTCATTCCCATTGCCTGCAGAAAGGGAATTGTGCAATCTACTTCACGGTGTACACCAAACACCAAGCGTGGCTGAGACGTGAGAAAACTGGAGGGTCAGAGAAGCATGGGTTTAAACAAATGTGCCTGTTTGCGCAAATCATTGACTCAGCAAGTGGAGATGTTACGCTGAAACAATCATCCAGGCAAACACAGTTGCCTATTGCGCTTGCTGTTCAATGAGTTCGAACAGTTCCATTCAAACTCTTGAAGTAGCACACTAAGATGCAGACGGTTTTTTGACAAGCCGGGGGAAGCCCCTATGTAAGAATGTGAAGATGGACCCAAGTGCAAACTCCTGGTAGACCCTGGGACCCTGTCTGCATATTTTCCTCCAAAGAATATCCATCATTGGGGCGGAGGGGGAGGTACTCCTTATCAGGGGCAGTGTAGTGTGTACAATGCAGCAACCAGCCGGACACGACTGCTAGGATTCACCCTCCAAGTCCCCCAGTAGAGAGGGTAATTACCCTTTTTCTGTAGTCTATTTAGTAGGGGAACCCTCCCCAAATAAAAAAGGGCAAAAGGGCACTACTGCAAAACCTAGCCCCAACCTAAAATGTCGCGCAAAGAGGTGTGGCGCAAGGCGAAGCTCGATGAAAGGGGTGGCCGCATCGGGGTTCAGCAGGAAACCAACCGCTTGCCAGCCGCTTGCCCATTGTGGCGAAATCCCGCTGGTGGCTGGGAGAGGCGCTTTTGCAACATGCTCACTGAAGTCGAGTTTCTACCACCAAATCAAGGATACGTTTTGAGCATTTGGGCAAGGCTGCAGTATGTCTCTCATGAGGGGCCTCATGCGCCGCCAATGGATGCCTTGCTAGAAAGGACCGGTGAGGTTTAGCCGAATACGGGAATTGACAACCTCGGACCTCCGTCTTTCCTTTGCGTCTTTCGGTCTGTGTGTTCAACCCCGGATCTGTTGATCTCGGTGTTTCCATTCGGCTTCTGGGTTGAAATGCAGACGCCCCCCCGTATAAGTGCAATTCAAAGCTCGCAAAGTTCAGTTCGTAGGAGGCCAGCGAGTGATAAACGGCCTCCTTGTCTTTGGCGTCATGGTAGCTGGCCTGGAAAACCAAAGCAGGGCCTGGTGCTAAAGCCACATACAGCCACCGGTGCAGGAAAGTGAACAGGATATTCTGAACACATGGGAGCCGGGGAGTGCCCCAAAGCGCCCTCTGCGGCGCAAGGGTGAACAGTGGCAAAGGGGCCTTGTCACTCACGGACTGTCGTCTGGGGCCGAGCCAACTTGATTCATGCGGAAACCCACGGTCTTGTCCTTTTGCAGTGTTTTACAAGCAGTGAGGGAAGGGTGGATTCTGTTTACCCATGGTCTGTCCTCTGGACCAGGTTGAAAAGGGTGGCGGCGCTGGTGATTGGCAGCAGGTTGCCCCTAGTCCGTAGACGGTCGTCTTCGAGCCAATTTTGGAACTCACGAGGGCAATGAAAGTCAGCAGTTCAAAGCGTGGAAGACGTCAAGTCTGATGATCCGACGGCTCTCCCAGGGGCCCCGATTCTTCAACGACACTGACGCTTTGACCCCGTCTCAGCCATTGGCTTGCGGATGCAGTTGCCTAGCCTTCTTAAGGCGTTTTCAAAGGCAAACCAAAAGGAACCCCCCACTTATCCCCACAGGTATTTTCGAGAACACTACGCCTGGGGGGGCAAAACAAAGTGCAAACCCTCCCCCCCCCCCCCGGCAAGCAGAGGATGCCAAACCAGCAGCACATCTCGGCTGCGCCTTGACCTGCGCCTTCAGCAGCTCATCTATGATAGGACCTGCGCTTCAAGCTGGGTCTGAAACTTCCCAAAAGGGTGGAAACCAGGGAAGCCAAGGGTATGAATCGTCTGAACAAGGGGTATGTACTTCCACTCTTAGATTATTGTGTTCTTCTGGAAACTTGAAAACTATCCCTTAAGCACCCAGCAAGTGTCTTGGCGGGTGTGGTGCTTGCGCGGGATGTGAGATGAACGTTGCTGGGCCTGGGTTTGCGACACAAGCTGGCCTTGGCCGTGCATGTTTTGTCACAATCCGTCATCCGTAATGAGACACCGCTACACAGCGGGAAATCACTGCCCCCTGGCATGAGGATTTGCTTGGAACCAATTGAAGCGGGCACAAACATTCAACTGTTGCCTCATGGAGACATCGATTTTCACACACACAAATCTGTGTGGCGTTGTCAGCTGTTCGGGTTGGCTTTTCATGGACATGCTGCCCTTGGTTCCCCAAAGCCCTGATAGGACATGCTCTCGTAGTCCCAAGGCAAGTGAGTGCCCCTTTTTTGCAAAGCCTTACTTACCAGGTTACTCAGAAGAAGTTTAGGGAAGCCAAACAAGACACGTATTAAAGGGACATCTCGCCAAGGGCCAGAAACACTTGCTGCTTAACCTTGAGCAATTGACACATTGGCAACCCAGGCTTTGCAGGCGATCCCAGTTGAACCAGTTGCCCAAAGAACCTTTTTCCGACTGACACAAAGCGGAACCCTCGTGGGGTTGACCCTGTTGACCATGTCTAGTAAGACGCCGACGGCACAATAACGGACTTCAAGGCACCACTATTAATACCACTGCTCAGCCCCACCACATGTCGTGGAACATAAGCCCATTTGCTTGTTTTGAGGGCCCCTCAGCAAATACCAAACACCACCCTGCAGCCAAAGATCGGCTCCAAATTTCGACAACATTCTTGAACTGCTTGATTTCTCCAAGGTCCCCCTGAGCTCAAGTCCGTCTAATTTCAAAATGGGCATGCCACCCCTCCCTTGAAAAAAGGGGGGGGGGGAAAACCGACAACAACACAACAAGTCTGGTGGCTTTCCTTTGAATCGGACCCACAAAGGGCCTCAACACATCACAGACCCAAATGCTTCTGGTCAAGGCGCAGGTCCTCAAAAATTGTAGGAGCTTCCTGCGGTTCTTGGACCGGATGATGCTCAGAAGCTCGGCCTGAACTCCAAGCAAAGCTCCAAGGGTGGATGTAGACAGTAGCCTCCCTCCCACATTGCCATGGCACCTGACAGAAGGTCCCTTAAAAAATGATTCTTCCAGGTACTATGTTGGTGTGGGTAAGTAAGTGCATGATTGTGGGATGGTGCCATCTACGTTCACCCAACTGTAGATAGGGGGCTTAGAAAGCGCTCATCATCAGTTGGAAAATCGCAACAGGACGTGGAATCCTCAAACACCTGGATCGCGTTGGGGAGCCAGACCCTGCAACGAAACGCACAGGAACAAACTGCCCTAATGGTGCTTTGTTTTTGCCATCTTCTGCCCCCGCCTCGGCCTCGATGCGGCGCGCGGCGTCCAACCCCAGGCGCACCTCGACATTCTGAAGGATTGCGAGCACATCCGTCGCGCCGTTCCTGCGCGAGGATCCAAACCCACACCCCAACTGTTTCAATGGCCCCGGTTGGAGAATGAGGCCGTGAAATTTTGGAGGAAACCCAGGAAAGGCGAATGAAGGCTTGGGTGGCAGGCCAGCTGCATCCTTGGCAGAGCTTGGCATTTCAAGTGGAAAGCGGAAGCACCAATCTGCCAAAACAGGTAGACAAAGTTTGAAAGACCATCCTTCCCCGTGCGAACAACTAATAACAAGGAGTATCCCCAACAGCTTTGGCAAATATTTTCGGAACCCATCTGCAACCCTCCAGGGCAGCTCCAAACATCGGTGGATGGCCCTCATAGTTGGCTTGCATGCAACCGCCAAGCTTGCGTTTGATCTCAAATTGACACATACCTAGGTCTTCCAGTTGGTCACTTTTCAGGGCTCTGGGCATGATTTTGCTCGTTTCAGATTTTGAGCGGAAAAACATGAACTGAGCGGAAACCTTGATTTGGCAAGTTCTCCCCGGAAAATGAGCAGACATCGGGGGGCAATGAGCGGAAATTTGTGGAGACACACCAGAACAATTGTCCAATTGAGCGTTTTAAGGTGAAATGTGCGTTGTTTTGGCTCGAAATGGAAAATGCAGCAAAAAGCGCCCAGGGAAGGCATAGGTATGTGTCACGAACACTCTTTATGCAGGTCAAGGTCATGGTGTTCCTGAGAAGGAACCCCCCAATAGGGAGAAGGCCATTGCCGTCCCAACCTGAAGTAAAAGGGTCTTTGAAAGAGCCATTTTCCACAATGGGTCAAAAGCTTTGCTCGGCCACGCCAACGCAAGTTGCCCAGGCGATCCTGAAGACGAGCCTCTGTTCTTGGCTGGAGGGGCGTCAATCGTTCGCCCTGAATGTGCAACCAGTAACTTCTCACTTGCAACTGAAGGGAAAGAAGAGAAGCGACTACCATCCAGACTTACATAACCGTAAAGACCATCATTTCTTGGATCTGAAATCTCCTTTTGGGGAGCCCTTTGGTGAAACGGGAGAATTGAGACCTACGCCACTTGCAACCAAAGGGCCAGGAAACACGTGGTCTACTTTGTGGGCCATTTCTAAAGATTGGACAAACATGGGAAGCCAAATGGAAAAACGTCGGACTTGGACATGTAGCCCTGTTGCCTGATCGCTTTGCTTTGTCGAACCCGCCAACCAAGGCCTCCCAAGCCTGTTGCTTCCAGCTCCTTGCCCGACTAACAACAAGGCGGTCGTGTTTTTCCCCATGGGGCCCTGGGGATTCACCTCCAGCCAGTCCTCTTTGCCAGCTGCGTGATGTTCTCGCCCAGGCCAAAGCTTAGGCCATAAGAGGCAACCTCAGGCGCTCACGCTCAGGCTGGACCTGCGGCCCCGTCATGGCCCTCAACAGTGACGCAGCCAGTAGAAAATCCACCTGGGGTTTGTAAACCCTGGGTTCTAACAAAAAGAGTCACTGAGGGCTCCAATTCTTTTCTGCCAGTGTGACCCGGTGCAAACCAAAAACACTACGCATTTTTTGCAATAAAACAAATCCAAGCCCGCAAATAAGGGACCGTCCACATGGGGCTGGGGTGAGCCCCCAGACAGGCAGCACCACCCACCGCCCACCGCCCCATCTCGGTCAAAGCGCTGAGTGGAAGAAGGCCTCCGTGGCCGTGGCGTCGTGGTAGGTGGGCCGAACCCTCGGACCCCGAAGCGACGGCCCGAATGGAACCACTGGCTTCGAGCGCCTCGGTGTCTGGAGGCAAAAATCGAAGCAAACCGAACCTATGTTTGCTACCGGACACAAACCACTTCCTGGAGCAAAACTTCTTTCAGAACTGGTGCAGGAATGTGTCCATCCCAGCATCACCCGCAACTTGATCTCTGGTGCCAGGTGCCAGGGACAAGTCAAGGATGCCGTTCACCATTTTGCTATTTGGCTATGGGTCAAAAGCCCGTACCCCCAGTAAACATTTCAATCCCCGCAAAAATCGACTAAAATGGGTGCACCACCCAGCCATTGCGCTGCCTTCGTTGCCCTTGGGGCGCGGAATCACCCCGCCTCAGTTTCAGCAGCTGCGCCGTCATCGCGTCACTCCGCATGAGACCTCCGGGCCAGGCGAGACTCATGAAACAGGACCATGGAAAATGACCCAGAAATTGTTTTTCCTTTCCACACTGCCGTGGTAACGGTCTCATGGCAATGGGCAATATGTCCCAAAAAGGAGCGGATCTTCTAGGTAAGGGCGGGTACCAACTATGACCATTCCCCTTCGTCTGGCGGGGTAGCAAACAATTGCATCAAATAACATGAAAGTCGTTGATGTTCCCTGCGCGCTCTCTCCAGCCGTTTGACAGCCGGTCAAATCAAGATCTTATGCGTCACCCAAAAATGAGGAGCTTTTGCCTTCACTTGCAACGCCAGGAATGGTCTTACCTGCTAGACCTGCAGCCGGGCGCAAACTCAGCGGTCTCTCATGACTTTAGGGACGCGGGCTGAAGTAACCCGCCTGCCGCTCTCTCTGCGTCATCGCTCGCCACGGCCTCCAGCATCTCGCGCTCCGCGCTGATGAGCGGCGCTTCTGCTGCCATGGCTCTCTCCGGGACTCTGCCCAGACGCGGGCTAATTAGGATCTGAAAGATGTGAAGCTGCAGCCAAATGATAACAGGCTTGACATAGTTTTGGCTTTCCTTGTAGTAAGACTGGAGTCTAAAGACAATTAGTGCAACGCCAAAATAGGTTTTGTTTCACTTTGGTGTCCCACAGAAGCGACGCCCGAAAAGGTTCCCTTGAAGGACACACCCACATAAGCGCTACAAGTTCTGGTTGGCTGTTTTTAGCTTTTTGCCAGGGCAACCGAATCGCACTGGGTCCAACCGCTCCGCAGGGAACACGGCCCAAGGGTTGCGCCTGTTGTTCCTGCGTTCAGCAACCCGTCAGCCTTCACAGATCGGCAATGAACGGGCTACTTAAATCTAGATTGGTTGTAAAATGATTCCCCATCACAAAGACCATTGATGCGCCCCGTACACATAGGTTTAAACCCGGGAGCTGGGGGAGAACATGGATTTTTCATGACGAGTTTTGTAGGGAGGTTCAAATTGAAGCCGAGTATCCAATTTTGTGAGGAGGGCGTGTTCATTTGTTCATCCTTGGCGACTGTTAGACGGTGGCGAAGGGGCAACCTCGCGGGTTGAGCGTTAGGCCTTCGGCCTTGGGCCTCCGGGCCAATGTGTGGGTTGCTTGGGTGGGCTAAGCTTTCTGAAAACCCAGCTTTAATTTGAGAATGGCAAACGAGGTATGCATCGTGCTTGAGGGCATAATTCAAATTTAGATTGAAATTGCTTGGATGACTTTGTGCGCTTGGTAACCCATACTTAGTCCGTCCCTTAAGTGAGCTTTACTCACAACCCACCCAGGGAGGCCTGCAATCCAAGCAGCTGTGTCAACGCGAGTTGCCCCCCCTTTTGGTCTGATTCAGCAAGAAAGTCACGCGCTAGCCCACCATTAACGGGCCTCAGCGCAGTGATCCAAACTTAGAACTCATGGCGGAGAAATGCAGCCCTTGACCATTGCCGGGGTGCTCGGGCCACCTGCTGCATGGTGTGGTAGTGGCTCCGTGTGCCTATCGACTGAAACGCTCATACAATACTCATACAATAGAAAGGCGGTATCGAAACAAACAAAACTAGCGGAGAAACAAACAAAGGCAACACACACAAAAATCAACAAGCACGAACGCACGCACGCACGAACGCAAGCAAGCAAGCAAACACAAGCTCACAAGCACACAAGCACACAAGCACACAAGCACACAAGCGCGCACACACAGACACAGACAAACAGACAAACAGACAAACAGACAAACAGACAAACAGACAAACAGACAAACACACAAACCCACAAACCCACAAACCCACAAACCCACAAACCCACAAACCCACAAACCCACAAACCCACAAACCCACAAACCCACAAACCCACACACACACACTCACACTCACCCACACCAACAGCCACACCCACACCCACAACCAACACATTAAACAACAAATCGCAAGACATACACATCAAACTTTGGCCTCCATGTCAAGGCCATGAACATCCCAAGCTCGGCCAACTGCGGCCAGGCCCACCCATCCGAAACTAACAGCAAATCATC